ACTCCAAATGTTTGTCCGATTGGCATGACGCGTTTTGTTGAAATTGGTGAAGATACAGACATAGCTTCCATATATATTTCGATTGGTATTAAATTTTGAACAGTGCGGCCAACCGAATAGCATGTATCAAGTTTGCTTTAAATCGATTTGCACGGCACTAAATCTGCCGAATGAAATTCAATCCAGCATAGGGTGCAGAGAGGCATGTGTATGGATTGATGTTAGTTGGAACACTTATGAAGATCGCGTATTCTATTTCATATCAATTTCCGCTTGAGGTATAATTTTTTAAACACAACTCCAACTTACATTCTTTTCTTTTTCCAACGAATCTCTGTCTCTAATACATTGACGGATCATTTCATCTTTCTCAGCTACATCAGAATTAAGTTTTGAAATTTCCTCTGCAAATATTCTCTCCTTATGCGAAATGTCTTCACGAAGAGATGTCAATTCTTTCTGCAAATAAAAATTAACTTTAGAATATTTGTAAGACCACTCAATTACAAAATGTATATGTACATACCATGTGCTTTTCATTCGACGCATTTTTCTCAATCACAACTTGATTTCTAAAATTCTCATAGTCTTTTTGTAAATTTTCATATTCTTTATGATATTTATCAGAATTTCTCAATAAGTCTGCATAGTCTGAGGTTAAGCAATCTATCTTTTGCTGCTTCTCTTCCAATTGTTCATTAAGGTTTTGGCACATTGTTCGAAGTTCATTTATTTCTTGATTTTCCAAAGTCTTTTGTGTTTCAATTTCATGTTTAAGATGATCAATTTCTTGATTTTGTATCTGGCGCATTTGATCATAATTTTCTTCCAATTTAAAATATTTTTCTTTGAATAGTAAAAAGTCATCGAGATGTTTTTGATTATTTCCACTGGCCGTGATCAAATCTTCATTGAGTTTTTTAATTTGTTCATCACGTTGTTCAATACTAAGAAAAAAAAAACATGAATATGCAAAATGAATGCAGTTTTATTGTAAGTACGTATATAATATATGTAAATACCTTTTACATAATTCTTCAATCGTTTTATCTTTATCTGTTATGCAGCACATAATCTGCTGTTTTTCGCCGGCAGTCTTCTTTAACTCATCATTTAGATTGGCTATTATATCATATTGTTTCTTCAGAAAGGCTTCTATATTTTTGGCTCCAGTTGCCGAGTGGTGTCGCTTCTTAGAAATATTTTTAGTTTTAACTGATTTTTCATTCTCTTTATTCATGTTGAAAATGATCTGCAATAGAAGTATAGCATATCAGTCAGGGTGTCGTTATATATTATTGACCGGAAAAAAATTCATATAGATTTAAAAATGTCCGTCCGCTTGTCTGTTAATATAACGACAGAGCTCGCAGTATGTATTATGTTTGGTATTGAAAATGGCATATGACGGTAAAAGTTTTGATAATCCTATTTTACGGGCCTCTCCAACAAAACATTTTTCAAATGAATTGGCTGTAATTTGATATGTATTTTTGCTCCTCAAATTATCAATATCGGTCCTTTATTCTGTATAGACCCATAGAATGTAAAATTTTCGGGTATTTTGGAATATTGTAAAATTATTAATATAGATCGACCTTTATGTAAAGGGCACTTTAAAGGTATTTTAATGTTTCCACCGAAGTGGCTATATTTTAGCACCGAAGGATTTTGACTCAATGGTCATTTATTTGATATTCCAGATTCTTTTATGACGAAAGATTTCTCGTCTGAAGTCAAGTTTAAGTGCACCACTCGTATCGCTATGAAATGTATGTATTTCCCTCACGGTAAAAAATTCATTACGATCCGAATGGATCCCCTAAAATTGATTTCTTCCCTATAATTTGTCATTCTGGGTTTTTGGAGTGCCAGATTTGGAACTGAGACATAGGAGCATCAAACTCACTTGTTTAACTCAATACAATTGCAATTCCGATTTTTTGTTTCCAATAAAAGTTGGAGCTTCGTAGTTCGTAAAAAAGAATTCCAAGATAAAATGCAATGAGCATTTCTCCGCAAGTTTCGAAAAAAAAATATTCTAAAACTCCAGATACGTATGTAAATACTTACATTTATTTTATAAAATTGGAAAATATAGGCTTTGTTATTAAAACTTTTAAATCGCCAACGAAGAAACGATCGGAAAAAACGAAGCAACTCGGCTACTTGTAAACATACATGATTACTAATTACTTTATTTTGGTATTTTTATAATGTTTAGACGCGACTAAAATGACAAGAATTAGAGTCTAATAGTACGTTTACATTTAACCGGATTATATTTGACGTTAACAAATTGTCATTCCTTTGCACATACGTCAAATAAATCCTCATAAAGTAGTTTAACCCGGTAAAAAGTTCTAATGTACAAGGAGTTTAATTCGTATACGTCACGTTAATCCTGTTCACAAATCCAGTGGATTATATTTGACGTATAAGCAATGGAATTGACATTTGAGATCGAGTGGATTTCGTAAATCTAAACGTGCCTTTAGCGGCACAAAATGTCAATTATTTGTTTTCATTAATTAGAATATTAAAAGTTGTGTAAACCAAAATTTTGATTGTGTTTTTTGATGAATAAAATCTATTCTAGCGCCAAGCCGCTAGACGCAAACGTCAGCCGTCGGGATCTCCCGTTGCCAATAAGAAATACACGGTAAACGACCGCCGCTGTCTCTAGACTCTCTGGTTGTGTTTAGACTCTAAGGCTGGGTTTATAGAAGACAAACAATTGAGTTCATATGTCTGCTTTTCCACAGGCAAATTTTTATTTGGCAAATACTGAGTTTGTAGGCGAGAGGGGTGCGAGGAAGAAAAACAAAAATTTGCCTGTTCAGAATTTGCCGTACACGCAAATTCTGCTTTGCTCTGTTCGTTGAAAACAATTTTGTTGACATTTCCTTTTGAACCTATTCCCTTTACTGACATACAGCCGGCTTTTGTTTAAATCGATCATGATTTAAAATAAACCATGCCGTACGATGATTTAATTTTGTATGGTAAATCATGGTAAATTTAGCCTGATTAAGAAAATAAACCCTGATTCGTCCTTTAATCATGATCAAATGTTATATGTAAATCCGCTTTAAGTCATATCTGCGACTTAAATCTCAAAATATTTATCATCATCATGATATTTGTTCAGCTTTATTAAAATGTTTAATATATTCTGTTATCACTTTACTATGAATGCCATGAAACGACTATCGATAACGGTGTGTGGTGAAATAGTGTTATCGAATGGTATGTTAATCGATTATGTTTTTGAACCACATTCTCTCTCTTCACAAATCATTGAGACAAAAAAGAGCAGTCTTTTTTGATGCGTTCGTCGCAAAACATTGGAAAATATTCTGAAAAAGTGGTTGTCGCATGCGGTGTTTCGCGCTTTTGTTTGTGACTAGAAAAAAAGAAGAATTCAATAAGAATATGTATGCAAAAATTGATATAGTGTGAAAAAATGTAAAAGAAAAAATCATATTAGTGTGTTTACGTTTTGGCAATTGTTTATGTTTTGTATTCAATTTTTTATTTTTTCTTTCTGATGCGTTTCCAAATATTTGCATTATATTTTTTTCTTATACGAGATATGCCCCATTCATAAATTGTGTACTATATAACAGCGAAGAAAAATTGAAATGAATAAATATTGTATATTATTTTGTTGTTGTCTGAAGTGTTTTGAAAAAAGAAACAAAAAAATACTGAATACGTATGAGATAAGTTAAACAAAAATACAACAAATACACACAGCATCTTAGCAAATAGAAGAAACCTTAATTATTTTTTTTGTTTATTTGATAATATACAAAACATATAATAAATGGCATGATGCTAAGGGAAGTGCAAAAATGTGATATATGCAAATAATTGATATGACTGGTTGGCTGGATGCGTGTAAGCCAAGCCATCATTGTGTGTTTTATTCAATTGTTTCAATTTTGTGTAGGTGTTATATTAAACAAATTGAATTGTTTGTTTGCGTGTTTAATTAAATAAAAAATTTACAATTAATTGCAAAAAAGAACTCGCTATCGGATTCTTATTGTTGTGTGTATAACACTATGAATGTATTTGTGTGTGTGTTGGGTACTGGCCAAAAGCCGCTAAGGAATAAGAATGAAAAGGAAGTTAAACAAACATAAACCCCAACAAGATGAAATAGCCATAGTCCTATTGTGAAAAAAAAACAGGCAGATGCAAAACTTAAACCTGCCACATAACACAAAAGTAAATGAAAACAAGAAGAAGAATCAAGCAACAACAAGGATTACTCATCACGTCATCATCAGCAACAACAACAACTATGTATCAACAACACGGTGTATTTGGCTTTAGCGCATTTTTTATGTTGCTATGTTTGAGTGTGTCTGCCTGCCTACCTCTCTCTCTCAGTGTCTTCTCCAATTCAACTAAGCTCCAACTTCAATCAAGCCATAACATGAACAATAAGAGCTACTAAAAAGCGGCAAAAACTACTTTTGCTACAACAATGCAAAAATATCTACTATACAATAACAAAAACAACAGCAAGAGCAGCAACAATAACAAAAACACACACACAACAAATTCTATACAATAACAACATAACAATTGTTGGGGCATCTCTGTTTTGAATAATTTTGTTGTTACTCCCCAATAGCTTACTCTCATTCTCTCATCCCTACTCTATTAATATCTCTTGCCTTTATAAAAAAGTGTCTCTCTATCTCTTCCCCAAATTAATTCATTATTTTTTGTTTGTTTGTTACTTCTCTGTTCTCCCCGTGTCATATGTGATTAATTCGGGTTTGATGTTTGCAAAAAAATATAGAAATAAAAATAACAGAAAATAATCTAAAAATAATTTAAAATATATGTGAAAGAAAAGCTACAGTTTAATCAATAATAATCAAAAAATAAGGAAAAAAGGAAAGGTGAAGTGTTCTTAAAAGAAAAATTCTTGTGTGTGCGTGTCTCGCTCTCTCTATTTAAAAGGGAATACAGGGCCGTGCCGTGTCGCCTTGAACAATGACAGAACGTAAATTTACCCGTGCTTTGAATAAGCCGGGTATGGCTGCCCAATTGCGTGAGACGGTATCACAGGTGGTACGAGAAAGTGCAGTTTTGGTAAGTGTTTTTTGTAAATAATTATTAATTTAAGGAATTTATTAATTAGTAGGGGTTTTCGTTATAGAGAAAATGCCTAGGGAAGTGTAAAGCAAAATTTATTTTATCTATGCAGAACTTTATTTCGAACCCTTTTTCGTGAGGCCCAGGGGATTCAAATTTGCAAAATTGTTCATAACCTATAATTTTGTTATACTTGGAAACTTTAACAGATTACGAACAATAATTTACATTCAAAAGGGCATACATTGGTCCGTATAATTAAAAAAAAACTGTATAGAATTTTTCTAAACAAATTTGTGTGAGCAACTCTCGTTGGCATGGTCCAAGATATTAAAATAAACAGTAGAACCGGTTAAGTTACACATCGGCACCATCGTTTTAGGTTATTGAAGAATAAGACTTCTTCTCAGAAACATTGAAATATTTGCATCGAATCCGACCCTTGTAGGAATTTTCTAGGCCGTCTCGCATTTTCAACTTACTGCGTTATATCGCAGAAAATGTTCAATGTAGATCGTGTAAGGTTTTTATACCCTCCATTATAAGGTGTTGTGCATATTAAAAAAGTCATTCCTTTTGCAACACTTCCAAATTTTCACCTGAGACCCCATAAAATATATATTTATATTCTTGACCAGAATAAAAATCTATGCCGATTTATGCATGTCCGTCTGTCTGTTGAAATCACAATAGAGCTCGCAATATTTAAGATAGAACTTCGAAATTTTGCACATACATTGCAAATACCATATGACGGTACCCCCAAATATTCGGCATCTTGGGAATATTTAGTTTTTTTTTTCGCTGGAAGAATTAATTTTTCTTCTTTGGATTTGTTTCGGGTTAATAAAATTCAGTAAGGTTAAATAAAATTCAGTATCTAGTTTTCTGCATTTTTATTTTCCAATATTTCGACTGTCTTCGACAGTCATCTTCAGGGAAATAGTTGTGAGAGAAGCTACAGGTTTCTTACACCGTTCATGCTAAACAAATCCAAAGATAAATTAACTGTAATTTGATATTTTGGGTTCTCATTCGGTATAACAACTTCTTACTTTAAATTATCAACATTGGTCCACTTGTTACCATAGCCCCAATATGTCCCAAATTTCGGTATTTCGGGGGAGTAGGGGCACATTTTCCAACCGATTTGGCTGAAATTCGGTATTTTGAGTTCTCATTGGTTATCTCAAGTCCCTACTATCAAAATTGGTCTACTTTTTTTATGATAGCCCACATATAACGGTACCTCCCAAATTTCGGTATTTTTGGAATTTTGGGCACAATTTCCACTTTTAAGGTCCCGGTATTTTTTTTTACCCGAACTTGTTGTAAATTCGTGGTCATTGAGTGTCAAATCTTCCTAGCAATAATTTATCATGGCGCAGCCCACGATATATGTACATACTTTATAAATGTGTCGAACGATTATTGGGATTTCAAATGTCCACTTCATAGTGGAGGGTATTAAAAGTTCGGCTCCCTCATATAATGACCCATTTCAATGATGGCACTTGCCATATTTTCTATTATAAAATTATATCAATGCATTTTCAAATTTTCAGGGGTTTAAGCTGCATTTCCCACCTAAAACACTGGTATTTCGTTTTTTCGGAGGATAAATGCCTACTCTCACAGATATTTTCCTGTTCCACCGATTTTATATATTTTAAAGTCCCATCCGAACTGATTGTGGCATGGTTATTCGATTTCTCAAAGAATTTGGAATATAGATCCTTGGATTAAGATATTTTCCATATGACTGTCTGATTTCAGATCTTTTGAAGGCACTGGCATCGTTTTCTAACAAAAGTGACAAAAAAGTAAAATGAGGGATTAGGGAGGTATTGATTAAAATACCTCCCAAAAACATATCGAACAAATCGGATTTTGGTTTCTTTAAGTTCATCAGATATAGAACCTATAATCTGGTCTAATAGAATTCCCTGGCCTACAAAATTTTGTTGTTGTAGCACTATTGATTTTTCACAAAGGTGCTCGGGTCAAGCTCGGGTCATTCCAAACCGATTATCGTTGGAACGAATAGCGCCGGGTGTTTTCTACAGCTTATTTTTCCGCTTTTGTAAGTACAGAGACCCGAACCTCATATATGTGAGGCTTTCACCTATGAATGGTCATAAAAATCCCGACCAATCGACTATATTTCTTTTTAATAGCTTTTTGTGAAGAATTCGTGGATACTCATTGAATTCTGTATGATTCTCCAGACTCCAGGACTCCAAAGATTTATAAACTTACATTTCTTTAAAATGTAGAACGTTTATTGTCTTATGATGCGATATATTAAGAGCCACTTTGTGTACTCATGTTCGAACTTGTGACGATTTTGCAATCAATATTCCATACCCAGATTTGTGGCAATGTACAATCAATGTTGTCAGACCACACCATATCTTATTACACCTTATTTCTAAATTTAATTTTCTTTAAAAATCATTACACATATCTGTTTTGGGAGAAAAGGGTGTGTCAAGTGTGTTTATACTCCCCTTTTTTTAGTGCACTTTCAACATGGATTTTGCAACACAACGAACTGGATGATTGTGTTTGTGTGTATGCGTGCCTGGGCAATGCGTATTTGTTGCAAAAGTCCCAAGAGTCATGATTCGTATATCAAACGGCCCAGAAATACACCATACCACCAAAGTGTGTGTGGGGCCACCTTGCCACCATCCCACACCTTATTTCCTCAACATTGGATTTGTCACCAACTGCATGCATACTCGTACCTACTCTTCATATCGTATCGCCGCATGCATGGTGATGGCCTTTATCATGAGTTTGCCTTGCAGCACCAGCAGCAACATTTAGTTGTGCAACGCAAACATTCATAAGCTGTGGAGTGAACAAAGTTCTGTTTTTTTCTTTGCTTCTTCTTCTTCCTCTTGTTTCATAAACTTTGTTTACACGCGGAGCTATGCTCCTAAGATTATTGACCCCTCAAAAGGGATTGATAAGAACTTGAAATAAAACAAAACGAGCAGCAGTGGCAGTCAACAGTTTACCGGAAATTAAAAATGTTTAACTTTGAGGAAAACGAAATGCAATTTTCATAATGGAATTTGATTTGAATGGAAACAAATGGGAAATCAGGTAGAAAACATATTTTTAAAATATTTTGAATTGGGAAATTATATTTATCTAATAATTATTATTTTATTATAGAAAATCTAATTGCAGTGTGTATGTGTTTGTCCTTACTTCATAATATGTGAAAAACACTCGCAAACTCATATTTAGTCCTTAATGATTAAAAATTCCATCACAAAGTCATCGGATTTAGAAAGAAACACGAAAACCTAATTGAGAGTAGAAATGAAATTCCTATGCCATAATCTGTAGAAGATCATAATCTTATAAAATCCAGGATTATATACAATATCCTCTAGCAAAAGGAACAAAATCTATTTGAGATAAACTAATGGGAATTCGAAAGGAAGTCATTAAAAAAATAGGTAACCAAGGTGTCTGTAATCTATTGACTGGGAAAATTTAATTCCATAGTTTCTTCTTTAGAGTGCATTATTGATGTAGTGGAGATATCTAAATCCGAACTATGGGCATTTTATACAAATACCCAGAGAAATACACTGTAGACTATTTCCAATCCAATCCAATGACCTCACAAAATTTCGTAAAATGAAACTGTGGGGTATCTGGATCATACGGTCCATTAACACAAGCTCTGAATCGTTCCGTTAAATTTGCCTTTCCCATTCAAATTGAGCCGATAGCTCTATTTTGATCTCAATTATGCCAAAAAAAACCGTCATAGTTAGTTGACTTAGCTGCTGCTATCGATGTCAGGTCAGTTGTTTGAGAGACTTGTTGATCAAAAGGCACTCCTTTATATTCGTTTAGCTATGCGGTAACTGCATTAGTATGACTGCTATTCAGACCTGCTCGGTAGGCAACTTGATTTAGAGGCTCCCTTTTATAAAGTTGGCGCCCTCTCTCTTTAGATCATGCAGATCCTTCCTGAAACACCTTGGTGGGAAATGTTAACCATATGATGGTTAGAATGTTTGTCTCTGAAGCACTCGACCAGATACTGCAACGAAATCATATTTCTATGCTGACGGAAGGATCATCGTCTCCTCATGAAGATGGTCCACTGGTGTCATGAGGACGCAACCTGCTGCAGCTCTCAGGGCGGCATTCTGACAGGTCTGAATACTTCCCCACTGCCTAGCACTAGTATTGCAGACCACAGTGGTACCGCATAGCTGGTCTGTGGCTAGCTATGCGGTGGTGCCGGCAAGAGACTTGAGGACTTCGTACTTCTCAGATAGCTGTGGTTTGCGCAGATGATTGGACCTGCGGTCGAATATAACCCCGAGTATTTTGGGATATTAGGTGGTCGAAATTTGTGTGCCCCATTGATCTACAAATTCAATGGCATTCTCATCACCGCAGTCCATGTGGTGAATAACGTGGCCGTAGATTTAGTGGCGGATATTTCCCTATGATAACTCGGCGAGATAGGCGTTCAATCCTACGAATGTGTCCTCAACTATAGGACTCCATTATCGTACAATCATCTGCATACGTAACGATCTCGATTCCGTCTGGAGGCATGGAATATCGGAAAGGTAGATGTTAAACTGTTCCTGAGATATCACTCCACATTGAGAAACTCTCTGCAACACTCTACGGGTTTAAACCTCTTATTTCGGAACTCACACATACGACTGGCGTCCACACATAAAGTTGATTAACCAATGTTTCAAACTTGGCCGGAGGGAATTGTTCTCGATGTCCTCAAACAGTGTGGCATGATTGACTCTAACAACGGCTTTTGATGGTCAAGCGCTTCCAAGTAATCTTATTTCAAAATTTCAGTGTTGCAACTTTATCGGTTCACCCAAACCCAAATTGTACCAAATATTCTACCATTTAGTTCTTTTCGTACACATAAGTACAAATTTTAAAAATCATTTGTTACATCGATTCTACACTTAATCTGTGACTCTTAT